AAGAGGCAGCTGATCGATGTTTCTCTCTCATCGATGTTTCTAACTATGCCTCTCTCTTCCTCTCTGTAAAAAATCAATAAAATATATATAGAAAAGAAAAAAAAGAAATAATGATAATTAGAAATACTTTTGTCAATGCAAACTTTTATTTTCTAACTTTAGTTCTAATCAGTCTTCATCTTCACTGATATTATGTTGTATTTTAATAATAACACAAATTGATATTCAATAGGTTAAGACAATAGACTCATATACCCCAAATTGAGATTACTGCCCACACCCCGTTTCTCTGAAATGTCTTTTATTAGAAATAAAGGGTGAAGTTTAAAAAAAAAAAAAAAACATGAATACTTGAAGTAGTTGATATATTTGGTGTGAATGCTTTTCTGTCAAAAGAGGTCAAGTACTCAGAGGACACCGAGGATTTGGCCTGCGGACTATAGTTTACTGAGCCGTTCCAGAGCATCCATATATGTTACATAATACGCCTCTATTATAGCAGTTACTGCTGCGTATTGTAATAGGATTTGCATGTTTGTTAAGCCATTGTGAAACCCTTAAGGAGAGGGACTGACTTTATTCATATTTGTTTTCCCAATGTCCACAGAGTAGTTGGCATAGAAAGTTTGTTTAATAGATTAAGTAGTATTCAAATAGAAACTAGTTAAATTGATGAAAAATTTAAAAACAGGACTGTTTGATGGTTTCTGAAAGCACTGGAAAACCAGTCCTCTATTGAGTTTCATGTTTCAAAGGACTGTGCAATTTTTAAAAACAGCTTTATTGAGATATGTTACATACCATACAATCCACCCATTTAAAATGTACAATTCTTGCCCTAGCCACTTTGGCTCAGTGGATAGACTGTTGGCCTGTGGAATGAAGCGTCCTGGGTTCGATTCAGGTCAAGGGCACATGCCAGGTTACAGGCTTAATTCCCAGTAGGGAACATATAGGAGGCAGCCGGTCCATAATTCTCTCTCATCATTGATGTTTCTGTCTCTCTCCCTCTCCCTTCCTCTCTCTGGAATCAGTAAAAATATATTGTATATTTAAATAATAAAAATAAAATGATCAATTCTGAGATTTTAAAAATTAAGCTATAGACATGCAACATACTAATTTCAGATGTACCACATGAGATTTGCTTTCAAAGAGAGAGATGGAAAAATCTAAAAATGGGTGGAAGAGGCCACAAATAGAGGAAAAGGGAGAGGAGAAAGGAATTCTCCAGTGTGTTCTTTATTCTGTGCTAGGAGAAAAGCTGTGTTGAAAGGGGCTTTGTTGCTGTGTTCAAACTCAGTATAAATCTGAACTTGGCTCATTCAGTAGAGATCTGAATACGCTCTAAGACTGATCCCAGGATCAGAGTATCATTCTTTCAGACTCAGTTATCTAGGGCACACATCCCTTGTTTGAATCATCCCTTTGTTGGTGTGCAAATCTTTATTATCAATGCTGCAGGACAAATTGCCCCCAAAACTTAATGCTTACAGCAACAGTAAACATGTATTTATATTATCACATAGTTTCTGTAGGTCTGGATTTTGGGAGTGGCTTAGGTGGGTGACTCTGGCTCAGGGTTTCTTTCACATGGCATGGGTTGGAGGGTCTAACTCCAAGAATGGCTCACTAACACGGCGGGCAAGATGTGCTGATTCATTGGTTTAATGCCTGTGTTCCTTGCCAGGTGCCCGTGCAAGGGGCTGCTTGAGTGTCCCCATGTTATGGCAACTGGCTTCTCTCTAAGTAAGTGATCCAGGAGAGCATAAAGTGGAAGCTGCAAAGTCTTTTGTCACCTAGCCTTGGAATTTACACATCATAATTTGTGAAAAAACATTCTGGTTACACTGGTCAGCCCAATTCATTATGGGAGGGACTATTGTATGTATATATTTCAAAGAGGATTCCTGAATTCCAGTACCAGCTCTTCAATAAATAGTACCTTTCCATTTAGCCTAACTAAATGAATATACCTTAGAGCAGATCAATAAAGCATCAGAGGAAAAGGGAGGCCTGGGAAGCTTTTCTCCTGGCCAGTCCAGTATCCCAGGATTCCTACTTTAGTGGCATTAACTTTAAAAAAAAATTTTTTTTTGATTTTTTACAGAGAGGAAGGGAGAGGGTTAGAGAGTTAGAAACATTGATGAAAGACATCGATCAGCTGCCTCTTGCACACCCCCTACCAAGGATGTGCCTGCAACCAAGGTACATGGACCGGAATCAAACCTGGGACCCTTCAGTCTGTAGACCTACACTCTATCCACTGAGCCAAACCGGTTTTGGCAGTGGCATTAGCTTTCACTGAACGTTCATCCTTACACTCTTCTATCCTGAGATACACTGTTGCTCTGTTCTCAAGATACTAATCACAGAACACTCCCCTCTGCACTGCACTTTTAAAGACTCTCTTGACATATAGCTACTGGACTGTCTCTCACATACTCTTACCCTTCATGGATTTGCATATGGGAGTTGGCCATAAAACAACAATCAGAAGGACAATCATCTTTCCATCATTTAGAGCAGTGTTTCCCAAACTTTTGACATATGTGTACCCCTTCTATAATTTTCGTAATGCTGAGTACCCCTCATCAAAAAAAAAAAAAAAAAAAAAAGAAAAAAAGAAAAGAAAAGAAAAAAGGATGTATTAGGCTCAGCTAAGCACTGTGCAGTGCATATTCCCACCAAACTCCGGTGCAACGCGTACCCCCACCAAACTCTTCCCGTACCCCCGGGGGTACGAGTACCACACTTTGGGAAACACTGATTTAAAGAATCTAGCTGTACCTGTGACTCATTTAAAAGAAACAATAATAGTCCTGTGAATGAATTCATTAAAACCCTAACCCATAATAGCAGTGATATATCTGGCTAGCTTGAAGAAGACACAATGTACCATATTTGCTAAGTGAGTGAAAAATATTCCCTTCAAATAGAGAATAGCTATTTAAAATATTGCTAGGCATGTCACTGAACCTGGACTCCTCCCCTCCTTCCAAACTTCTTTAATTTAAGGAAAAGTATTTATAGAAACTCTAATCCTTTCCCATTCAAATTACTTGCCCCTCCAATACTCAGAAGTGACTATTCTGTTAGACAAAGGAATGGAAAAGGAACTTGTGGTTTCAATTGGGGCAGGGGGGGGAGAAGGATGCGACACAACAATTTGGCAACTTCTTTAAGTTTGAATAGAACAAGAGGAGCTGCATCATCAATAGCTTTTTAAAAAAATATATTTTCATTAATTTCAGAGAAAAGGGAGGGAGGGAGATAGAAACATCAATGAGAGAGAATCACCGATTGGCTGCCTCCTGCACACCCCCTTATTGGAGATTGAGCCTGCAACCCGGGTATGTGCCCTGACTGGGAATCAAAGGGGTCGTGACCTCTTGGTTCCTGGGCCTACGCTCAAACGCAGAGCCAAGCTCACCTGACATCAATAGCTTTTAAGGTACATTTTGTCCTGCTTTTTACCCAAGGATCTAGACATGTCAGACAGTAGAGGTGCCTGCTGTTTTTAAAGAATGCTAAGAGACTGTGGCATTTCCTCAATAAGGAGAAACAGATTCTGTAAACCATTGTGAGATTTAATACAGGATTCATATTTAACCCTTTTACATTTTTTCTTTTGTTTTTCTTCAGTGTTAAATTTTGTCTACATGATCAAACCCGTTTATATTCCTTAATGGCTTTGATCATAATATCACTTGATTGAAGAAAGAGATTTAAAGTTAAATGCAGCTCAAAATTCATTGCATCGTTTCAGTCCATGGTAAATCCTGGGAGTCATTGTGATTATTAAACCAATCAACCAAAAATCATTGGGCACGGGAGGTTTAAGAGACCTGAGTTTTGGTTCTGTCACGAATTGCTTTTCTAGTTTTGGGTAACTTGACGACACCAGAATACAAATGTATCCCACCCAGCTTCATTGCTTGGCCCTCTTCAGTTTTCTTTGAAAGTCTTCGAGGGGCTCCCTTGAATCCTTATAACTGGTCCACAGGGGGCTGCCCTCTGCACCTTTGGCTAAAGTGGTGTCTCAAACGGAATGAGATCTCATTCCTCGTGGGTTTTGTGCAAACCGTCAGGTACTCCGGGCTCCAGGCTGGCATTCTTTGCCCGGTTCTCGGTCTCCTTCCCTCCTTCTACCTTAGGCTTTCCACGCCTCCGGTACCCACCGGCGACTCGTTTCGCGTGGTTCGTTAGGCGAGTCTGGGGACAGCGTCCATTGGCCAGACCCGGGCAGCTCTGGTTCTGAGCCAGTGGCCCGGCAGGGCCTCCGGTGCGGGGCCCTCCTTTCCCGGAGGATGCAAACTCGTAACGTGACAAAAACATTCCCGATTTTCTTCCGAAAAGCCCAATCCTAGGCTCACACCCACGCATTTATAGAACCACCACGCAGGTTACAGGACGCCGCCGCGCTCCAATCACCAGTCTCAGAAGCCCTCCCCCTCGGCTCCGGCCGCGGGGAGCCGCGGTTGAGGCTGGAACTACAAGCCCCAGAATTCCCGCGCAGGCGCGCTGCTATTGTGATGCTCCCTTCCCGGCAACTCGTCCTCTCAGGCAAACCTGAAGATAGCGGCAATTCTCCGGTGGGGGGCGGAGACGCTCCCGGCCCGAGTCTCCGCCCCCCTTCCTGACAGGCAATGGGACCAGCCAACCGACGCGGCGGGTGGGTGACGTGCTCTCCAATCAGCACCCGCGGCGGAGAGGTGGGCGTGCGCACTGGCGGGGCCGGTAGGCTAGGCTGTGCCGGGTTGCGAAGGGGGAGAATAACGTCGGGTCGGGTCAGCGGGCGCTGCAGTAGTCGCCGCAGCGGCGATGGGAGCGGTGGGGGCGCGGCGGCGGCGGCGGCGGCAGGAGGAGGAGCGGAGGCTGGCACAGGAGCTGCGGCGCGGGGTGGCCAGCAGCAGCAGCAGGAACAGCAGCAGCCGCCGCCGCCAGTGAACGGCGGACCGTACCTGAGGGGACTCCTCCCCGGACGGCCGACCCTCGAAGCCGCGCTCCATCCCGCCGCAGTCGGCGGCGGGGGATGGGTAGGCGGCGGCGTTCCCGCCCGCTGAAGGTTGACCCCTGCGGGTCCGGGCCCTGAGCCCTCTGCCCGAAATCCCTGCGCCCGCCACGGCCCAGGTAGGACACACCCCCGAACCCCCGGGGCGCGGCCAGCGGGGAGGGGGAACGGGGGAGAGGTTCCCGGCCCTCGCCTTCCTCCAGCCTGGCCCCCTGCGCGGGCCGCCCTCCTCGCGCACCGACCGACCCCGGAGCGGAGGGAGAGGGCACGGGGACTCCTCGGTCGCTGCCCACGCCCTGGGCTTGTGCCGGTGCCAGTCACTCCCCATCGGAGGTCGGCGGCTGCTCCCCGGTGTCCCCGAAGGTGTCCCCGAAGGCGTGTGCCCCGTCGCCCCTGAGGCGTTTGGCGCCTTCCTTGAACTCCGAGGGTCGCGGAGCGTCGCTTTCTTCCTCTCTCCGTGTGTGACCCACATATCCCTTGGCTCCATGCTGCTGCTTTCTGGTATCAGGACCGAACACGGGATTCGCAGGCTATTCTGAGCGCTTCTCTCCCGCTCCTCGTCCCCAGACGCAGCAGCGGGTCCTCGGGCTGTAGAACCCGCCCGCCGGGTAGTAACGACGACGGAGGCGAGGCCGCCACTTTCTGTAACTTAAGGTGCGAAGGGATGAGCTGCGGGATCTCCTCGTCATCTGCGTGGACGAAGCTGATGTAGATAGACAGCCCCGGGGTTGCCGTGGGAGGGACAAAAGGCTCCGCACACAGGGACTCCACACACACGTCCGAGAAGTAAATAGCCCATTGGGATGCCGTCACACTTTATCCCCGCAGTGAAGTTCATTGTGTTTTCCGTCGCGCGGCTGCATTGGAGATTAAAAAAAAAAAAATGACATTGAGTTGTACTCTGCTTTGAATTAAAGTTGGTAGGTGGCAGCCTGATCCGGCTTTAGCTCCTCTCGTCGCCTAGCTTGGGAAATTGTTCTTTCTTTGGACGTTGAAAGAGCGCCGTTTTATGATAGCCCGTGTCTTATACAAGGATGTTTTGAGACTCGATAGAAATTGCGTTTTTTGTGCATGTGCGAGGATCACGTTATTATGAATGGGCACATGTATACACACGCGGGCGGAGGATTCCACTCTGCGTGTTGTTACAGTGTTTGGTTCTGAGTCATTAATAACAGTTGCATTGGTGTCTAAAACACTGATTCGCCGGGATGGACGACAGAGATGTGTGTGCTGTTTTCTTTTGGCTAAATAGAATAGATAGTAACTTTTATTTGGAGGGAAGGGGAGATGGGAGATGGATTTTAAAGAATTGAGGGAATTTTATGCTATGTTTGTGTGTTTTTAAATTTGTTTTTATTGATTTCAGAGAGAGGAAGGGAGAGGGAGAGAGGTATAGAAACATCAGTGGTAAAAGAGAATCATTGATCAGTTGCCTCTACTTGCCCCACACTGGGGATCAAGCCCTCAACCTGGGCATATGCTAGTTCATAGGTGACCTCCTAGTTCATAGGTCCAGCTCAACCACTGAGCAAACCCTGCTGGGCTATGCTTTAAAAAAAAAAAGAGAAGCAGTAATGATGACAAATATTATGAATCTTGAATACATCTTAACTCTAAAAAAAAGTTTAAAATAATATGTGCATGGACTTGGATGGCATAAGGTGAGCTATTCAAATTGAAAACATACTGAAAGGATTTCCCCCTAATTTAGAACCTTATGTTTTTCTGCATGATGCATTTTTATCAAGATATTGAAATTGATGTTTGAAGCATAGTTATAAAGGAAAGTTTAACATTTTAAAAAATTATACTATAGAATGTTAGGATATTCCTTTTCCTCTTTCAGGAAAGGAGAAATTGAAGTCTCTGACTATATTAATTTATGATATAAAATTGAAACAAATTTGATCTTTAGTAGAGGGCTAAAAATAACATATCTTGATCATTATCTTGTACTATGGATAATATATAATTTAGTGAATTTCCTATTGTATTATGTGACTTAAGATTTTCACTTTCTTTTAAATACTGATGATTATAATGCCTCAGGAAGTCTTCATGAGATTAGGCTAAGTTGCATTAGCAAATTGAACTCAATTATATAGGGCTTCAAATATCTTGTAGTGTTAGAAGTGGAATTTGTATAGACAACTTTTACATAAAAATGCCTTAAATGTGACAATTAGTGATAAAAAATTGGCTTTTCAATGTAGAAGAATATTATAGAACCAAGTTCCTCCACACTCCCACCCTCCATCATGGAATTTAAATTTAACTTGGGGGGGGGTAGTGGTGGCAGTAAATTCTTTATAAGTTTTGTAACGTTAAAAAGTAAGATATAGACATGATAACTTAATTACAATTCTTGGGAGACTTTGAGCTGGAATCACCCAACTAAGATACTTTGAAGTGAGATGATAAATATTTGTTGCTTAAAGAAAAAAGCAACATATAACAAGGGGAAATGTTTAATGACCATTATTAAATTAGTGGGAGTTGAATTGATTAGCAAAATAAAACATCTTTTGAGAATTAATAGGAATATTAAATATAGTTTATTTCTTTCCCCATTTAAAAAAACTTGGATAAGAACAATTGTTTTATAGATATGTAGCAGACAATCTTTTTGTTTGTTTTTAATGTTTTTATTAATTGTAGAGAGAGGAAGGGAGAGGGAGAGAGAGATAGAAACATCAAGATGAGTATCATCAATTGCCTGTCTTCAGCAGCCCCTTACTGGGAATGGAGACTGCAACCTGGGCATGTATCCTGACTGGGAATCTATCTGTGACGTCCTGGCTGATGGGTTGATGAACAGTGTGAGGATGGGTTTTGGCAAACAATCTTTACAACTTGAGTGTATGTTACTCAAAGTTACTCATTCTATTCCTTTTTTTTTGCTGTTTTTGAGCTATATTTTGACTCAAAATATAGATGGAGCTATGTCAGTTTATTAATATTGTAGGACAAATTCAATTTTTATGTTTTTTAATTAAACATATTTGTACTGTTTTACTTCCTTGTCATCCTCTATCATTATCCATTATATTGTAAACAATAGTGATGACAGTGGTAGATTCCCCTTCCCTCCACCTCTTCCCAGGCTTCGTTGGATAGAATCCTTGTGTTGTAAATACTTTTTACAGTTTTTATACTTTACCCAGTACTTTCAGTTTAAGTATCATACATCCATATTTGATAAAAGAGCCCTTAAGTCTTATATGAAAAGTTGAGTTTTTAGAGCTATATTTTTAGTCTAAATACAATACATATTATCACTTGAAAGTTTCTGTCAGTAATATCTTCTGATCCTTGGTTGTAGGTTTAAAATGCAGATTGAAATTGTATGTTTACATAATGTGAATGTCAATTTTGCTAGAAAATCTCATCTCTTAAACAGGTCATTTTTAATGTGTGTGTGTGTGTGTGTGTGTGTGTGTGTGTGTGTGTGTGTGTGTTTTAGAGAGGGATGAAGGGGTTGGGGAGAGAGAAGGAGAATGAGAAAGAAACATCGATCAGTTGCCTCCTGTATATGCCCAGTCCAGGGCCACACCCGTCATTTTTTGGTGTATGGGATAGTTAATGGGATGACACTCCAACCAACTGAGCCATGCTGGCCAGGCCTATCAACATTTTCCAATAGCAAATAAGGAGGAGATGAAGAGAGTAACATAGGAAAGAAATGAGTACCTAAAAAGAAAAATATGAGCTATATCGCCCGTGAATTTGATTTGAAAAAAATTATCTGGAGGCTAAATCACATGGTAGATAATAATAATAAGTCAATTAGGACTTCATTTCTGCTGCATGTCTAATATTTGAAAAATTCAACATGTCCAAGACAAAAGTCAGCTGTCTTTTACCTTCTTTCATTCTATAAATAAAAATATAACTGTAGCCCTGACTGGTTTGGCTCAGTGGATAGGGCGTCAGCCTGTGGACTGAAGGGTCCCAAATTCAATTCCAGTCAAGGACATGTATCTTGGTTGCAGACACATCCCCAATAAGGGGGTGTGCAGGAGGCAGCTGATCAATATGTCTAACTCTATCCCTCCCCCTTCCTTTCTGTAAAAAAAATCAATAAAATATATTTAAAAAATATATATATATATCTGTTTAATTACTCATCTAAGCTCAAAAATTTTATTTCTTTCTTTTTTGGCTTCCTCTTTCTTGATTTTAACTAACACAAAACCTCTCCTTTTCATTTCCACTGCTGCCCCCTTAAGGTAGTCTCTCTGAACCTCATTATATCATTTTAAAACCATTGCAATAGACTCATCATTTAATTATTAAACTAGAGGCTCAGTGCACAAATTTATGCACCAGTGGTGTCCTTTGGCCTGGCCTGCAGGATCGGGCTGAAACTGGCTCTCTGACATCCCACGATGGGTCCCAGATTGAGAGAGGGCACAGGCCAGGCTGAGGGACCCCACCGGTGCAGGATCTGGGTCAGGGAGGGCACAGGAGGTTGGCCAGCTGGGATGGGATTGTGGGAGGGCTCCAGGGCATGTCTGACCCATCTTGTTCCATTCCGATCAGCTGGACCCCAGCAGCAAACTAACCTACCGATCGGAGCATCTGCCCCTGGTGGTCAGTGCTTGTCATAGTGAGTTGTTGAGTGGCCTTAGCATATCATTAGCATATTACCGTTTGATTGTTGAAAGGCTGACCAGTTGACCAGCCAACTGGTCAACCTGACACTTAGCATATTAGGCTTTTATTTTACAGGATATTTGTTAAGTATTTACCATGTTACTGTGCTAGGAGTTAGAGATTCAGCAATGAGAAAGACAGAAATGATTTCAATTTTAGAGCTTATAAGACAACTAGGGGCCTGGTGCATGAAATTTGTGAATGGGAGTTGTCCCTCAGTCCAGCCTGCACCCTCTCCATTCAGGGACCCCTCAAGGGATGTCCGACTGCCCGTTTAGACTCAATACCAGTGGAATCGGGCCTAAATGGGCAGTTGGACATCCCTCTCACAATCCAGGACTGCTGGCTCCCAACTGCTCGCCTGCCTGCCTTCCTGATTGCCCCTAACTGCTTCTGCCTGCCAGCCTGATCACCCCCTAACCACTCCCATGCCAGCCTGATTGATGTCTAACTGCTCCCC